CGGCCTTGCCCTCAGAGCTTTCTAAACACGGAGGGATGAAGTGGCTCCTTCCCACCCCTGGGATCAGGGTCTCACCCTCAGCCACGCGGCCCTCCACTCAGGCTGGAGCTTCCCTGCTCGCCCATCTCTAAGGTTCTCAGCACTGTTCTAGAGCGGGCACTCCCTCCCTCCACCACCTCCTGCCAAAAGCCTGATGAGCTGGGGGAAGCAGCACGCTCATAAATAATCAGTGGGTGGAAGAAAAGACCTCGTGATGAATGAAGTAAATCCACAGCATGCAGACCTCTGGGTCAGCAACAGCAGTGCCAGGGGGAAATTCATGCCATGAGTTCTACAGTCAGAGCAGATAGATCTCAAGTTGGGAATCTGACTTTATACTGTAAAGAAAAACCGGGAAGAAGAAGAGCAAACTGAATTCAAATCTGCAGAAGGAAGGGACTAATAGAGATAAGAGCAGACGTAAATGCAACAGGGTGATCATTAGTTACCTCCTGATGTGTGCACTGGGACAGCCCTGAAATCTCTGTGCCCCCATGTCCTTATTTTGTAAAACAGAAAGTCATCTTCCCTCTGAGGTGTGTGAAAGCACTTTGTAAACTATGAGATCTTATTAAACTTACTTTATGTCAGACACATTTTCTGTTCTAAACAAATTGCCAAATAACTGTAAAGCCCATACCAGCCCTTTGGCAGACAGCCTGATAGAGTATGTGCTCAATAAAGTCCCTGATTTCAAAAAAGAAAAAAAACAGAGAAAGTCAATGAAATCAAAGTTAGTCCTTTAAAAAGGTTAACAGAATTGGCCAACTGTTGGCCAGACTAAGACAAAAAGAGAATGGGCTAACTCAGTCCTGCAAGTCTTCGCCAGGGCAATGAGGCAAGAAGAGAAAGAACATCCAGACTGAACATGAAGCAGTAAGACTCCCGACGTGGAGAGGAAACCGTGTGTATATGTGATCCCAAAGGACCCACTGACGGTTACTGGAGCTAGCAAGCAAGATCAGCTGAATCGCAGGACACAGATCAGCAAACAAAATCAGTTGTATTTCTATATACAAGGTGGCTTCCTTGGTGGCTCAGATGGTAAAAAAAATCTGTCTGCAATGCAGCAGACCCAGGTTCAATCCCTGGTCAGGAAGATCCGCTGGAGGAGGGCATGGCAACCCACTCCAGTATTCCTGCCTGGAGGATCCCATGGACAGAGGAGCCTGGTGGTCTACAGTCCATGGGGTCCCAAAGAGTCAGACACAACTGAGTGACTAACACTCATACATAAGCAGTGAACAGCCTGAATACAAAATTAAAGAAACGATCCCGTTTACAACAGCATAAAAATACTAAGGAAATAATTTAACCATGAAGCTCAAGATGTGTGCACTGAAAACTGTAAAACATTCCCAGGAGCAATGAAAGACCTTCATGAATGGAGAGACATCCTGTGTTTATGGATTGGAGATGTTAATAATGTTAAAATCCACTGGATCACAGAAAAAGCTAGAGAATTACAGAAAAACATCTATTCTGCTTTATTGATTACCCCAAAGCCTTTGACTATGTGGATAACAACAAACTGTGGAAAATTCTTCAAGAGATGGGAATACCAGACCACCTGACCTGCCTCCCGAGAAATCTGTATGAAGGTCAAAAAGCAACAGTTAGAACCGGACATGGAACAACACACTGGTTCCAAATAGTGAAAGGAGTACGTCAAGGCTGTATATTGTCACCCTGCTTATTTAACTTATATGCAGAGTACATCATGCGAAATATTGGGCTGGAGGAAGCACAATCTGGAATTAAGATTGCCGGGAGAAATATCAATAACCTCAGACATGCACCTAAGGGCAGAAAGTGAAGAGGAACTGAAGAGCCTCCTGATGAAAGTGAAAGAGGAGAGTGAAAAAGCTGGCTTAAAGCTCAACATTCAAAAAACTAAGATCATGGCATCTGGTCCCATCACTTCATGGCAAATAGATGGGGAAACAATGGAAACAGTGACAGATTTTATTTTGGGGGGCTCCAAAATCACTGCAGATGGTGACTGCAGCCATGAATTAAAAGATGCTTACTCCTTGGAAGAAAAGCTATGACCAACTTAGACAGCATATTAAAAAGCAGAGACAGTACTTTGCCAACAAAGGTCTGTCTAGTCAAGCTATGGTTTTTTCTGTAGTCATGTATGGATGTGAGAGTTGGACTATAAAGAAAGCTGAGCGCCGAAGAATTGATGCTTTCGAACTGTGGTGTTGGAGAAGACTCTTGAGAGTCACTTGGACTGCAAGAAGATCCAACCAGTCCACCCTAAAGGAGGTCAGTCCTGGGTGTTCATTGGAAGGACTGATGCTGAAGCTGAAACTCCAATCTTTTGTCCACCTGATGCAAAGAACTGACTCATTGGAAAAGACCCTGATGCTGAGAAAGATTGAAGGCAGGAGGAGAAGGGGATGACAGAAGATGAGATGGTTGAATGACATCACCAACTCGATCAATATGAGTTTGAGTAAAGTCTGGGAGTTGGTGATGGACAGGGAGGCCTGGTGTGTTGCAGTCCATGGGGTCGCAAAGAGTTGGACATGACTGAGTGACTGAACTGAACTGAACTGAACTGAATAACGTTAAAATGCTAACACCTCTTAATGTGCTCTCCAGATTCAGTGCAATCTCTACCCAAAGTCCAATGGCCATTTGTGCAGAAATGGAGAAAACTATTTTATTGTTAGTGTGAACCAGTGAAGTTGCTCAGTTGTGTCCAATTCTTTGGGATCCCATGGACTGTAGCCCACCACACTCCTCCATCTATGGAATTTTCCAGGCAAGAATACTGGAGTGGGTTGCCATTTCCTTCTCCAGGGGATCTTCCCGACCCAGGGATTGAACCCAGGTCTCCTGCATTGCAGGCACACGCTTTACCGTATGAGCTACCAGGGCAGCCTAATGTTAGTGTGGGATTTCACAAATGTCTTCATTTCCCGTCAGAAAGCGCAGGGCTGGGTTGGGTGGACTCAGGGCTCAGCCCAGCAGGATGCGCGTGCTCTGTCCACACGGGGCCCTGCAGCACGCTCCTCCTGGGAGGTCCCAGGAGCTAAATCCTTGCTGCAGTTGGTGAAGCACAGGCGACTTTCCTGTCCTAGGGGCTCAGGATGCAGTGAAGCGAAGCCCCTAGTGGTCCAGAGGGAAAGCCCCTGACAAGGATGCCTCTGGGTGGAGGAGAGGAGGGAGGAGGCTCCAGGGCAGAGTTCAAGCCCCCGGCGGCCCTGGAGGGAAAGTCTCCAGCCCCGGACAGTTCCTCCTGGTCTCTGGGGTCCCCTCTGTCAGCCTCTGGTCTCTGGAGAAGGTCCAGGCCCCTGGCACCTGCTGCCAGCCCCAGGCCAGGCTGGGCCAGAGAGAGCGGCTGGGCAGAGGGGCAGGCAAGTCAGAAGCAGGCGCCCCTCCTCTGACATCCACACCTGAGGGGGTGCGTGCCGGTGATCGAGGGATCCTCGGGGCCACCGCACTGGATGGGCGGCCCTCAGGCCAGGCTTCTTGTCCCAAGGGCAGCAGATGCGGGTGGGTGGGCGGCAGTGGTCCCCAGGAGGCACTGGGGGGGTGGCCTGCGGGTGTGACCCTGCAGCCGGGCTGGGCCCCTGTCCCCAGGACACAGCCCACAGGGCCAGCCGGGTTACGTGCATTTGGAAGCCACTGCCTAAAACCACCGCTTGCTCCACCCCATTCTTCAAACCACCAGGCAGCTCTGCAATCAGTTTCAACTCCGGAAACAGAAACACATTTTGAGAGTGATTTTTAAACCTGGGGACCTGGGGCCTCCTTGGCAGGAGACAAGGTGAAGAAATCTCGCCTCCCTGGCCCAAGCTGCAGCAGAAGCCACCCCAGCTCTGGTTGCCACGTGGCAACGCATCTGCTCCACGTGAAAACCAGACAGTGTTGGGAACGGGGGTGGGGGTGGGGGTCACGATACTCACTTAAACAACAGCGTTTTTATCTGCCTCACCCCAGGCACCTCTGCGGGGCTGGGGCTCGAGCTCACAAGGATGGACCAGAGGCCCCTCAAGTGCAAAGCGAGGAGGAGCCCGCTCGGGGGGACTGGGCCCCAGGCACCCCCTGCCCCCCATGGGCCACAGCGCAGGAGCCCCTGCTCCGCAAAGGACTACCTGGGAGCAGCCGTGCCCAGCACCCCAGGCCAGGGCCCCGAACACGAGCCCCGGCCCCCTCAGGAGCGCAGGCAGCCCTCGGCGGGCTGAGGGCCTCGCGGTGGTCACCACGTGTGCCCAGCCAGCGGCCAAGGCTCTCTGAGCTCAGGCAGTGGCCTGGAGATGGGCCGGGTGATGGCGCTGGGCAGCGGACGCCCAGGCTCTGGCCATGTAGGCCGATCTGGGCCTGGCTCCTGCCAATGGCCGGTTTGGATTCAGTCTTGGTTCAGAGAATGGGAGGGCAGAGGCCAGCGAAACACGGATTGCCGTGGCCAGCTGCCTAGTGAGGGGCCGGCCTGTCCTTGTCTTAAGGAGCCGAGATTGCACCTCGGCATCTCCTGAGAGGCGTTCCTGCTGCGGCCTAGACAGGAGGCTCCCAGGGTGTCCCAGGCCACGTTCAGGGTCCACTGGGCGTCCCAGGCTGGGTTCTGGGAGGAGGTCTGGAGGTCCCATTGGCCCCAGGCCTGGTCCCACCATGTCCACCTCGAACCCTCCCGGTCCAAGGAGGAAACGGGGACGACCAGCTGAAGCAGGGTCCCATTCAAATCTATGCCCAGGCCCCGCGGTCACCTTGAGGTCGGGTCCCCTCTCTGCTCACCGAGACCGGTGAATAAACCAAAGCCAAGACCGGGCCCTGGCCCAACACAGAGCTGTGTCCATGCCTGCCCACCCGCGGCGGGTGCTGACCCAGGCCCAGTCCCCACCTGCCCCGGCCACCTGGGCCTTCGATCCCCCCTGGGCCCAGGCTTCCCGTGGCCAGTTTGCCAAGACCCCCTAGGAGGGCCAGGGCTGGGGGTCAGACACGCTCGGTACCTGAGCAGGGGCTGCTTGGGGTATGGCGGCTGGCCTGCCCCCGGGCACAGCGGGGCCTTCTTGGTCACCTGCTTGTAGATGTTCCTGGCGGTCACCCCGATCCACAGCAGAGTGGAGAGTGTGGAGTAGTGCAGCGTGATGCCCACCTGTGGGGACAGCCAGTGAGCGCCCGCCCACCTACCGGCGCCCGCCCAAGTCTGAGCCCCAACCCTGTCCCCCAGCGCCCCGGCCCCAAGTCTGAGAACCGACCCCAGCCCCCAGCGCCCCTTCCCCGAGTCTGAGCCCTGCACCCCGCCCCCCAGCGCCCCTTCTCCAAATCTGAGCCCTGACCCCATCCCCCAGCGCCCCTTCTCCAAGTCTGAGCCCTGACCCCATCCCCCAGCGCCCCTTCTCCAAGTCTGAGCCCTGGCCCCGCCCCTCAGCGCCCCTTCCCCGAGTCTGAGCCCTGACCCCGTCCCCCAGCGCCCCTTCTCCAAGTCTGAGCCCTGCACCCCGACCCCCCAGCGCCCTTCCCCGAGTCTGAGCCCTGCACCCCGACCCCCCAGCGCCCCTTCCCTGATTCTGAGCCCTGCATCCCATCCTGCTGCCCCCTCCCACATCCTCAGGAAACAGCTCAACAGCAACAGGAACAGGGCCTGGCAGGGGCCCTGGGGTTCTCGGGGCAGACACTGCGCTTCACAGGGGCTCAGAGCTCAGGAAGTCACGTGGGAGGCCGGGATCCTGAGCCGGCTCGCCTCCTGCAGGGAGCTGTGGGCACGCCCCCGGCCTGGTCCAAGCGGGCAGACTCCTCCTGCACGGGAGCCCTGTGGCCGTGTGGTCAGTGGGGCTCAGCTACCGCAGAGCCCGCCAGAAGGGAGGGGCAGAGGCATGGGGATCTCCGGGATGCAGTCCTCGGAGATCAGAGGCTGAAGTTCACTCCTTGCCGGTCAGAGTCGCTCGTTACTATGGAAACAGCCCCATCGCCTGTGGCTGCTCTGCTTTAGCTAATTGGGTGTTCATTCTGCACCCCATCTTCACCATCCGATTCTGTAGAATGAGGCTACCTTTGAAGTAATGACGTGACGTTTTGCGATGACAAATAAAATATGGCTGTGATTGTAAGGACGTCAGTGTTTAAGGAATACAGAGATTCTCTAAACAAAGGTAACATCGCACCGCTGTAACGATTTATCAAATGCAGAGTTCAGCTTCAACTTGTGAGAAAGCCCCATAAGGACGTAAGGACGGGTGGGACTGTTGTGAGAATGCTGGGCTGTGTTTCAGTTGCTGCCCGCGCAGGGGAGCATACAGGCCTTCTCTCTGCCCGGCCTGGGCTTCGTGCCTGGGAGCAGGCCCGCGATCCCTGCGGCCTGGCCGAGAGGAGGGGGCGGACGTGAGACCCCTGGGCCGGCCCCACCCCCGCCGTCTTCCCAAGTGCCGCGGACCTTGCCAGCCTGTAGGAGATGGGAAGGCCGAAACAGAAGGATCTCCCAGACGCCAGCCTCAGGTGGACACGTGCAGAGGTCGCCACAGGGTCGTCACGCTGGTGTCCAGACGGCCCTTGAGCCGCCCGGGGCCGTGCTGTGTTTCCGTGGGGCCGTGGGGCCGCAGGTGCGTGTGGCATCACAGCCTCCGCGTGGCGCACAGCTCTGGTCCCATACGACCACCTCTCCTCTCCAGCCCCCAGCTCTGGGCCACGAGCGCCCATCACGGCCCTGGGGCGAGTTTCCCTGTGACGCCCGCTGGGGTGGGGGCGCTACTGGCTGTGGGTGCCCGTGTGGAGCCCGGGTGGTGGTGAGCTGGCACTGGGCACCGTGTGCCAGGCTGGCTGCCGGCCAGGGCAAAACCGCACTGGCGCTGATGAATCGTCCCCTGTGATGGGGGCGGCGGGGCGGCGGGGCGCCCGGCGTCTGCAGCCGGCAAGACGGGCAGCTGTGCGGGTTCAGCCTGAGCGGGCCCAGAGGCGGGAGGTCCCCGCCAGGACACTCAGGGCTCTCCCTGCGCAGACGTCGGTCTGGTCCAGGCTCTCGGGGGCTGGGCGACTTTGGGAAGACGGTCCGCTCTCCTCCAGCCGCTGCCTGAACGTTCATTTCACTCAGAAGCACCCTCACAGACACGCCTAGAAGGATGTTTGACCGAATGTCTGGGCACCAGGGCCAGTCAGCTTGACAGGGGACAGTGAGCCTCACACCTTCCAACCGACTCGCCTCTGAGCTGTGCCCCGGCGTCCCTCTCCTCCGGCAAGCGTGGGGTCCACGGTCACGGCCTCCCGGCCCCGCACCTGTTCTCTCTCTGACCGTTCCTCCCGGTGAGCCTGGCCTGTCTGCAGCAGGTCCTCTGCCGGAACCTTGTCCTCTCTGCCCCACGCCCGGGTCAATGCTTGTCTTCAAGTGAGCGAGTGAAGCTCCACTTCCTTCTGGAAGCGTGGACTCGGAGCTGAGCTGCTCCCGAGGGGAGGTTGTCACCACGAGGGGACCGAGTGTGTCCCGCGCTAGCAGGACTTGTGGTGCTCCCCAGGCCCATCTGCCCCCGCCCATGACACAGTCAGGGGCCCAGCTTGCTGGCCTGGCCTTGGCTGCCACAGGGACACCTGGCCCCGAGCCTCTGTCTGGGCAGGCGGCTTGGGGACAGGTCCCGGGTTGGGGGCTCCCGGGGCTGTAGGGGTCATGATGACTAGAGGCACTGGGGGGCGGCGGCCCCAGGTCCCAGGGCTCCCCCGCAGGGTCCCCGCACACGGGGCGCCGGTGCAAATGTGGACATGACTGCAAAAGTCCATTTTACTGCTCCAGACGGCTCCGCGTCTCAGCAGGTGTTCAGAGGCGGATGGCAAATTGGATTTCCCGGAGCTCCCCCAGGGGTGTTTCCGCGCTATCGAGAGACCTCCAGGAGTGTGTCCGTCCCACATGTGGTTCAGGGATGTGCTGGTGACTTTTCTGCCAGGGACCGGAGCAGGTGCAGAGTTGGCTTCCTGGTGGGACGGCTGGCATCCACACGCATTTGTGGAAAGCTGACCTCTCTTCTGTGCTCAGAAGCCTGGTGGTGCGGGAACTGGGCCCTTACATCCTGCCACACGGGCCTGGCACCTTGTCTGCAGGGGGGAGTGTGTGGGGGCAGGAGCTCACGGGCAGTTCCACCCGAGGCACCCCTGCCCAGTGGGAGCAGACTCGTGCCCTCCAACGCCCGGGAATTGCCAGCAGCTGCCATTGGTGCAGAAGGACAGGTCAGTTCGTGTGGACAGAGGGGGCACATGTGTGCCCAAGATCAGCAGGCACACACAGGAGCCAGGAAATCGGGCTGAGGCAGCCCCATGGCTGTTGACATACTCTTGCTGAATTCACACAAACAAGGCCACAAGGGGAGTGTGTGAGGTTGTGGTGGGTGCTGGCCGGGACACTTTCTCCATGTGGTCCCGGCAGATGGACACCCACCAAATGAGTCCTTGGTGCGAGGCCCTGTGGTCCATGGGGAAGCACCCACATGGCCCCTGATGAGTGCTGGAGGTGTCTGCCCGCCGGGAGGGGACTGCTCATCTAGAGGGGACTGTATCCCTGTATCCCTCGGCCAGGCTGAGCCGAGGCCAGGTGTAGGTGGGCTGGTGAGAGGCTGGGGGGAGAGAGCAGAGGGGCCTCGATGTCCAGCTGCACGGACCCTGGGCCTTTGTCCTTGACTCGCAGCTGATGGAGGGGACTCTCTGGCTCTGTCAGGACCAGAGGGTATCTCATATGCCCCACTTCCTTTTTTGGCTTAGCTGTGAGGTTTGTGGGATCATTTCCCAACCAGGGATCAAACCCACAACCTCTGCAGTAGAAGCTTTGGAGTGTCACCCACTGGACCACCAAGGAAGCCCCTTTCCCCTCCTTCTAAGAAAGGCCAGGCGGGGCCATGGGGTGGAAAGAAGACCCCCTGAGACTTCTTTTCCCAAAGGCCCCCACTCACCCAAGAGGGCCAGACCTCCCAGTCAGTGTGAGACCACCGTGTGCCACGTGGGGGTGGGTGCGCCCAACCCCTGGTGACCCGGCGGTGAGGGCGCGCTGTCCCTGGTGAGGAGCTGCGACCGCAGGGCCCGGGCTCTTACCTGGGCCAGGGGAGCAGGCCCGGCCCCTGAACTCGTGCCCACCCATTTGCAGGAGAGGCAGGTCGAATCCCTACTTCTGTGATCAGCCAATTTGTTCGGAATTGACCATCTTGTTAACATGTCACCAGGGGCTTGGAGAAAACTGGTCCCATTGGAAAATAAACTAAATAACGTGATCCGGCACTGAGCAGATCGGTCAGACTCACACCGGGGAGAAACTGATACAGACGCACTGGGTGCTGCAGAGTCCCCGTCAGGAGAAGCCCCTGGACAAACGCTCGCATGTTATTTCACACTCCGGACGATCATCACGGATCTCCCCCTTGGCCGGAGTCGATAAGCACGTCAGACCTGGCAGTGAATGAAGACAGCACTCACCGCCTGGCACAGGGTCGGGAACCTGGTGCGGTTGATGCCGCCAGCAAAGGCGGAGAAGGTCAGGGCTGCGTGGAGACAGAAGTTCAGGAGAGTGTGCCGGCCAGGGCGGCTGATCCGGATGGCGCTGCGGGGCGAGACCGCGGTCAGAAGCTGCCTCCTGGGGCGGGGCGCAGCGCGCGCGGGGCGGGGCGCGGGACAGCCTCGGCAGCACAGGCCACGCCCCATCCAGCGGGGACTGGGCAGAGGCCTCGGGTGGATGGGGACGGGCTGGGAACAGCACTCCAGGGCGACTGGGCCGGGCGCGGATGGATGGGCTTGCTGTCCACTCTAGCTTGTGGCCTCAGGTGCTTGGTGTAAAGTCACCCTGGGAGGCTGCGCCTGGATGTCTCCGGTTGTCAGACAAACGATGACCTAGAGGCCCTGGGACGTCACGACTCGTCTGAGGTCACAGGGGAAGATGGGGGTGAAGCTGGTCTGGCTTCGTCATTCCCCGGACGGGGTGCTTCGTGTCTGATCGGAGCCTGTACCTTGGGAGGAGGCTGTGGCTGGACCCCGCAGCAGCGACTGCCGCAGAGGACACTGCTTGTGGTGGAGTCCACACCCAGGGCTAGCCTGGCAGTACCCGCGCTAGACTTCTCAGTCTGTGCCTGCAGCTGCGACTGTGGCCACAGCTTCTCTGCGGCCTCGGTCACGCTCAGGCCTCTACCTGTGACCCTGGCCTGCGATGTGCCCAAGCTCCTTCCCTGACCACAGTTAGGACCGCGGCCTAGGCTCTGCCCATGGTCTGGACCCTGACGGCGGCTGGGACCCCTCCTCACATTCCCCAGGTCATCTCTGAGGGACGTAGAGAACCCACTGGACTCCCCTGTGGACGGCCGGCCCAGGGCACTGCTGCTCCGAGGGTTGGGTGGCTACTCTGACTTCCTTGGGGTACGGCTGTCGGAGCCCTTGGAGGAAGAACGCGTGTCACCCGACGGGATGAGAATGTGAGGCCTGGGATGTCCGTTCCCCAGCACTCAGCCACCCTCAGCTGCCAGGACCACCCGGGCCTGTGAGGCACCTTCCAGGGACTCCTTTCTACAGGAGGACGGGGCGGGGGGCTCGCCCTTGAAGGTGGAGGGCTCACCTCTGGTGGACGATGTAGGTGGCGGCGGAGGCCAGCAGACAGAGCAGCATGACGGCCGTGCAGGCGTACACCACAGGGTGCAGGAGCTCCCCTGGGGCCGGGGGCGGGGAGAGGACCGTCCTCAGATCCTGGAAAGGACACAGGACGCACCGCGTGACCGCCGTGGCCGGGCACTCCCGGGACCGGCGTCCGCCCTGTAGAGTCCCGGAGGCGAGTCCTGCACCAGGAGGAGACTTGCTGGGAATGCCTGGGGCAGGGGCAGGGCCCCAACCAGGGGAGCGCTCGGGGCAGAGGTGCCCAGCGCCCCGCTCAGCCGCGGGTGTCCCCGTGGGCTCTGACGGCCACCTCCCCAGGGGCAGTGCCCTGCTGGGCCAGGGGTCGGCCCGCCAGCCTCCCTCCAGCCCGGGGGTGCAGTCACCCGGAGACCACTGCTTCCTTCCGTCCTGGGGGCGCGGGTCTTCCGGAGCCCGCTCCTGTCAGATGCACCTGTCTGACGGCACCGCCCCAGGAGGCGCCCGTCAGGTTGCCCCCAGGCCCCTCTGTGGGACGCGTATCCACTGATGTGCTGCCGGGAAGGTCTCCCAGGAGAGTCTGTCAGGTGTCAGTAATCCTGCCTGGTGTGAAGCCGCCCCAGACCCCACGGCGTCCTGCCTCTACCGCGCGGCACACGAGAGCCCTGCTGTGGGCGGCATCCCTGCAGCCCAGGGGCGCTGGGCTTCAGGGACCCAGCTTGGGTCAGACGCAGTCCCGGGCGGCCCTGACCCGGAGAGGCCAGAGCCCTTGTGAGAAGGGGAACAGCAGGAGAGGCCGCAGCAACACAAGGAGGTGCCGTCTACACGGTGCGGAGCAGCCCTGGGGACGCCAGCCTCAGGCCCCGCGTCCTCCACGGCCAGCCTAGGAGGAGGTGCCGTTTACACGGCGAGGAGCGGCCCTGGGGACGCCAGCCTCCCGAGCTGGGAGGAAGAGATGCTGTCTACACGGCAAGGAGCGGCTTCGGTGATGCCAGCCTCCTGGGCTGTGGGTTGAGCCTCCTGCTCTTGGGACTTTGCCACGGGCCCCGCGGGGACAGCCTCTGCCCGTGGAGTAGGCGCTCTGGTCTCCACTGCCCAGGTCAAGGGCAGGGTCTGTGCTCCACACTCCGAACCTGCTGCTCTCCTGGCGCGGCCCCAGGGGATGTGCTGGGCTCTGGAGGGCACGCTGGGGGCCAGGCTGGGCCTGCAAAGGGCTGCCTGGCGGCCCCGTGAGGCCACTGCTGCCTGGTGGCCCCGTGAGGCCACTGTGGGGGGCTGCCTGGCGGCCCCGTGAGGCCACTGTGGGGGGCTGCCTGGCGGCCCCGTGAGGCCACTGTGGGGGGCTGCCTGGCGGCCCCGTGAGGCCACTGCTGCCTGGCGGCCCCTTGAGGCCACTGTGGGGGGCTGCCTGGCGGCCCCGTGAGGCCACTGTGGGGGGCTGCCTGGCGGCCCCGTGAGGCCACTGCTGCCTGGCGGCCCCGTGAGGCCACTGTGGGGGGCTGCTTGGCGGCACCCGCAGGGCTGGTGCTCAGGGCTGGGCTCTGTTGCCGTGCTGGCCCTGCTCCCCAGACCGCAGTGTCCATGGCTGAGGTGCCTGCCCCCAGCCGAGCGGGCAGCGAGGCGGCTGACGGCGCCTCCAGGCTGCAGTGGCGGGGGACGGAGCGGCACCCCGAGAAGGCCTCGGCCCGTCCACAGCGGGAGGCAGGAACCTGCTCTCCTCAGGCTCAGGCTGCTTCTCTCCTGATGGACGTTTCTCAGCCCAGAGGGGCCGAGGCCTGGCCAGCCAAGGGTGAGCTCTGAGCAGCCACTCCAGGCCCAGCCCGGCCCCTGCTCCCTGACTTTGCTCCGATGCAGAGACTTGGGTGAAAAGGTCTCTGTTGTCGTGGCGACGGCAGATGGAATTCGGTCCCCTGGGAACAGGCACTGAGTGACCTGGTGGCCCAGGGGCCCAGCGGACGAGTGAGGCAGGAACAGCGCCCATCCCAGAGCATGTGAGCGGGTGGCCGGGAAGGCGCTGTGCTGCTCGAAGACCCCAAGCTGGACACGCGCTGTCCGCCAGCCCCAGTCCTGACCGTCCACGGACCCCGAGGGCCCCTGTCTGGCGTGCACGGTCTCAGCAGGACGCGGCTGAGCTCGGAGGAGAGGCAGCCGGGGGAGGCGGGCCTCGGGACGACGGAGGAGCTGGCTGCGTGTCCCTGGAGACCCCGTTCCAGCGCTAGGAAGGTGGTGTCCCGAGGGGCTATGGTTAGACCCCGGCAGGACTCGGCCTGCACCCAGGGGAGCCACTTCTGAAGGCATGGAGGCCGTTGGGCCCGTCCTGCAGCTGGGAGTCTGCACCCAGGCGAGGGGCCTCTTGACAAGGGCAGGGCGGGCTCCTGGTGGAGAGCGGATGCCTCATGAGGGGGCGGCGGGGCGGACGCCAGTGCCGGGGTCTCACTTTCCGGGCATTGGGCTCCCACCGGCAGCCCACCCCTTGGGCCCTGCGCATCCCAAATTCTGAGCATCTCCGTCAGGTGAGGGCGGGAAGGGGTCTGGTGCCCAGGAGCCCCGCAGCGTTTCTGCATCTGCCAGGCTCCACGGGCGCTGACCTCCTGCCAGACATAGCTCACCGCGAACGTCGAGGAGAGGCAGGTCTTCTCGGTCAAGCCCTGATACCAAAGGGTCTTTTCTTCCCGGAGTCCTCGGCTATGACGGTTTGGATTCAGGTCTGACGGGGCTCTGGGGGTGTCCCCGGGCCTGTGAGTGAGGCTCCTCTCACAGGCGACGTCGGTTAGCCCCTCCGGTGACATCCTCATGGGCTGAGGCCGCCTGACCCGTCACGGAGGCACCCCGGGGCGTTTCTGGTCTCACATCTGCATGTTGAGAGCCGCTGTGGGTCCGGCCCGGCCCGTTCTCCCAGGGACCCAGTCAGGACACACGCCCTCACGTCTCGCCCAGAGCTGAAGGGCCCAGGTGGGGCCACCCTCCCTGGGGGCTCACAAGTCCCTTCCCCACCTTCTCTGGGCACCATCACTGCCTCTCAAGACTGAGGTCAGACCTCCAACTCTTGTCTGGGGAGGCAGGGATGCAGGGGCGGTTGAGCAAAGTAAGCGCATGCTTCTGGGTACAGCGTCCTCCGGGTGGGCTGACAACCGCGTCTACAGAACACCGGCCCAGCTGGGCTGCAACCGGGGAGCCTCTGCAGGGCCTGGACCCACAGCGGAGAGCTCCCCTCCAGGGCACACTAGCTGCCAGATTCTGTCCACATTGGGAGACCCCTTTCTGCTGTGCCTCGGAAGAGCCGGGAGTGCTTTTCCCGCAGCAGGAAACCATCTGGGAGCATCCGTTCTGGACACAAAGGCATTTCCTGGGCACGACGCCCACGTGGCCTTGGAGCAACCCCGAGGTCACCCCACCTTTGCACCCCCTCCTTTCCATCTGTGGGCCCAGTTTTGAGGCTTCGTGTGGTGGTGTGGGGTCTTTGACCGCCAGCAGCGGCACCCACAGTATATGCTTTGGGAGAGACAGAGATTCGATTCCATTTGGCCTCCTGTTTCCGTTTCCTTCTCCAAATCAGACTTGTCAACAGTGCTTTCTACATTTTTAGAGGTGACATTTAAAATTCAAACTAGGTAATGCAAATGGCGATGAGTTTTATATTTTAAAGTTCACACATGTACAAGTGCCTCTCAGAAGAATCCACTCTGCAAGCATTCCACCAGCAAAACCCTTATGATGGTCTAGCACCTGGTCAGGTGGCACCCAATGGGTAAGGCCCGCAGAGGCTGTGGGGCCAGCTGTGCGCTAGGACCAGTGACCACCGATGGAGCGTGGGCCTCTGGGCCGAGAGGCCGAGAGGCATCCAGAGAACCCAGGGAGGAAGGGAGGCGAAGCAACCCTGGCCTTCTTGTAGACGAGGCGGCCCACCAACTGCTGAGAGAGGTGGGTCTGCCCCAGCTGCGGGGCCAGGGCTCACGATCCCGCTCACGTCTTCGCCCACAGGACAGCCAGTCGAGGCCACAGTGGGGTGTGTAGAGGCCACAGAGGGGTGTGTCCAGGTCGCGGTGGGGTGCGTGCAGGTCGCGGTGGGGTGCGTGCAGGCCACGGTGGGGTGTGTCGAGGCCACGGTGGGGTGAGTGCAGGCCACGGTGGGGTGTGTGCAGGCCACGGTGGGGTCGTCCTGAGGACCTGGGCTCCGCTGCCCTGTGGCACCTGCAGGCTCTGAGTGGTGGTCCCGGGGCAGCTGTCCCTGCGGTCTGGCTTGCATTCTCCTTTCATTTATGTCTTATTATGATTTGACTTGGATGTGTCCTCTCTGGTATGTTCTGCAATCACACACATCGGGATGTGGAGAAAGACAAGAAGACAGGAGGAAGACGTCAGGTCAGGCGTCGCCTTCTGATCACAAGAGGCGAAGTGGCCTCTCCAGGCTGCGGGTCAGACTGTCTCTGGGCGTCCATCCTGTGCGCTCAGACGTCCAGGCTGGGCCCGCGGGCAGCTGGAGGCAGGCAGGACAGGCCCTTCCGCCCGGCGTCGTCCCGACCCAGACGCTCCCGTGGGGCCTGGGGCCCCTCGTCTGCCGACCCGTCCCTCCTCCCTGAGAGAGTCCTGGGAGGGCAGGAGTCTGCCCATTCGGGGCACACGCCATCCTGACAGGACGCTCACGGGTGTGCGGCGTCAGCTTTCGAGGGTATGTGGGCTGGCTGCACGACGAGGAACTCTGAAGAAAATACACTGAGAACTCCCACAGGCTTCCTCCCGGACTGAGGGTCACGTGAGAGAAACGGTCCCCACCTAGGGGAAGCAGCAGGGGGCGCCACACCCTGAGAGGTGCAGGCAGGCGCCTGCATCGTTGGAAGCTGAAACACTGGCCTGGAGGGGACACGGCAGGCGGGAGGGACTCACTGGCGCTGTGGTGGGCGGGTCAGCTGAGCCAGGGCTCGAGCCTTTCAGGTCTGGCTGGATGCCCCCGGCCCGGATGGGGCCCCCGGACGCCCTGCAGGCTCCGTACCTCCCACCGGCCCTCGGCTCTGGCTTCCTGGCCTCCGCCCTGCTGGTCTCTCTGGGGTTTTCTGTCCATCCTTCTCGGGGGAACATGGGTGCTCCTGTGTGCACTGGGGCCCCGCACGGGGTCTGGCTTTGTGGGGGCCTCTTACTCTGTCCTGACCCTGCGGGACCTGGCAAAGTTCAACCCTGCTCAGAGCCAGCGGGGCTCCGCCGGGCTCTCCTCGGGGCCAGGACAGGCCAGGCGCCACCACTGAGCGGGGTCCCCGAGGTGCTCGGGCCCCAGGGTCAGTGAGCTCACCTTCCGGGCCACGCTCGAGACCACGGGGCTGTGGGAAGCACACGCGCTAGTCCTGCCACCCAGCCAGTCCCCAGCGACAGGTGTGGCCGGAGAGCCATGCCTACAGGACCAGCGGATGCTGCACGCGGGAAGGACACAGCACCGGGCCAGAACGGTTTTCACTCCCCTTCCACACCCTGTGTTCCCTGGGAGACCGCGTTCTCTGCGGTGACGGTGAGGATCGCGGGGCTGTTTGAAGGGGAGTGTGGACAGGGCCATCGCAGGAGCAGCAGGGAAGATGGACGCTGTTAGCCCCAGGACGAGGGTCAGGGCCCCGAGGGCCGGCGACGGGGCCTGGCTTGGCCCGCGGAGGCCGGGCTGCAGGGTGCAGGCCCCCAGCCCCCAGGGGTGTCCGCCGTCCCGTCAGCCCCGAGGGTGCACAGGAAGCTTGCTTGAAGGCGACATGGGCTCCAGCAGGCCTGCCCGCAGACACTGAGGGCTCAGCAAGGTTCAGACGTGGCCACAGCCTCACTCAGGGCCTGGAGTCAGGGCAGCTGACCGCCGGGGCCAGGGCCGAGCAGGTGTCCGGAGGGACAGCCTGGTGTGGGGCCAGAGCCGACGGCGGCCGGCTTTCCTCCCCACGGCCCCCAGAGCCCTCGAGCAGCTGCCCCGCGGTCTCCCAGACACGTGCAGGAACATGCTCGCGCCACACCCGCAGGCTCGGGCTTGGGTGCAGCCGCTCCTTTCAGAAACGCTCCCCAGTGTGAACGTGACTTCTTAGGACTGGAACCAGTGAGCCACTAGATCCAAGCTCTCTGGACAAGGGCGCCCCAGCTCCTTCCTCCCATCGTAGACTGTACCACGTGGCGTGGGTGGGAGCTGGGGGCCAGGTGTGGATGGACTCGTGGTGAGGAAGGCGTTTAACGGGTCAGAGAGGGTCAGAGACAGAGGCAAAGCCGGGCCTGATGCTGGGGCACCTGGACTGGCCGCTGTGGGGCCCCAGGGGCAGCGCTGCCCCCACCCCCGGGCAGCTCAGTCCAGCTTTTGTCTATCAATGATGGGACCCAGATTGCGAATTAGGATCTGAATTCCGGGAGGCGGAACTTCAAACACGGCCAGACCAAGGCGCTGGCGGTGCTGGGGTGCACCCGCGGGGCAACAGGTGCCTGGTTCAGAGCTAGGGACCCGGCCGGGGGTCCCGGGGCGCACACCTCCGGATGCTCAAGAGGCAGCTGCCACCCACTCGCAGCCTCTGAGCCCTCGAGATGACGCTGACCTTCAGCAAAAGGCATCGCTCTTGTTTGGACATTTCAGATCCAATGGGAGGAGAGCGAACAAGGAGTTAGGACGGCCCCTGCTTGTGGAGGCTCGGGTCTGCATCCTCAGTCCAGACTGGGGCCCGAGCCCTGGCTGTGGGGGTGCCGTCCTCGGCCATTGGCATTCTCTGCACGTGCCGGCACAGTGTGTCCTTTACTGGAATCCGAACCGGCAACGGCCGCAGGGAAGCGCCCCAGGCCTGCCGGCCGAGCCCCCTGTGCTGGAGAGGGGCCTCCGTGCCAGCTGCGTGTGCCGCTGAAGCCCACCCACGTCCCCTGCCTTGCGCTTGCCAACTTTCCGATGGGAAGGGCTGCAGTGGAGGGAGGGCCGTGCGCAGGGCTTGGGGCCAGGAGGGGGCGAGACCCCAGCGCCCCCCGGGAGCCCCCAAGCTTGGGGTCAGGGAGGTTTTCACAGGTGGCAGGCCAGGCCGGGGCAGGCTGCCACCTCCCCTGACTCTGATTCAACATTGCAGCACGCCGCTAATTAGTATGATCTCCGTGAGCCGCCGCTGAAGAGCCGCCGCGAAGCAGCAGCGGAGGCCCCCTGGCACGGCCCCGCCCCCTCGGGCGCCTCGCTGCAGGACCCGCCGGTGCCCCCGCCCAGCGGAGCGCACAGCAGCTCGCGTGCTTGCGGGTGGGGGGTGGGGCCTGAGCCCCACCGCCGTGTACTCACCATGGGCACAGCGAAGTTACTGAAGTGTGAGCAGGGGTGGAACGGCCCGGCCGCCTATGTCGTTCCCTGCTCCCTGCCAGCCTCCATGGCTGTCCGGAAGGTCAAGTTCCCCTGCAGGGGCCGCGGGGTCGAGCCCTGGGCGCCCGCGGCGATGGGGTGGGTGCGGGGGGAGAGGCCGCCCCCATCTGTGAAGACAGGGAAGGCCAGGTGGTGGGGGTCCTCCCTGCATCTCGCATCCCCCTCTCCCTCCAGGCAGCCCCCCCCCTTCCCCCTCAGCAGCAGCAGTGCCTCCCAGAGTCTGCCCCGCTCTGGGCTCTTCTCGCCCTGGCCAGCCTGTTGGAGTGTCCGGCTCCAGGCATCTGGGTCGGGCAGAGGCTCGGGGACGACCCAGGGCCTCAGGGGCCTTGGAGAGATGGTGCCCCTGGGAGCGCTTCCTTCTCCATATTTAAAAATCAGCCTCCGCTCGCCATCCAGCGCAGGACTCTCAGCCCAGTCTCGGCTGCAAGAGTCACGTACAGCATGTCTGTCAGCTCAGCCAACAGGCTCCAACGATCCCCCACGAGCAGCCAGACCCAGGCGGGCGAAGCCTCTGCTGCCTGGACGCGGCCAGACCTTGCGGGCCGGCCTCTCCCCACACAGCCCGGTTTCCCCGTGGCTGGGCTCTGTCAGCGGAACCCAAAGTTGTTCAGAATCTGCATTTGCAAGAGCAGGCACAGCCGGCCCCTGGCAGGTACTGATGCCCCAGGGGGCGGCCTGGGGAGTGGATGCTGCGGCTAGAGGGCCCCGACCTGCCCCTACCCCCAGCCTTGTCCTGCTGCCTCCTTGTGGGGAGGGGGCACCTGCGTGGGGACCCTGGAGAAACGCAGCCCAAGTTCTCACCTATTTTGGCGAAAAGAGCTGGAGTGGCCGCAGTCCTGTGCTTCCCGCTGGCGGAGAGGTGGGGCGCGTTCCCGGGTCTGGGGAGCCGTTGTCCATCGCAGGGGCAGCGCGCCGGCTGGAGAGTGGAGTTATCAACAGATTGCAAGACCGCAGCCCGGCCGGCCCGGCCTGCCCGGGGTGAGCCGGAGCCAGGAGCACACGCTTGCCGCCTTTCTCAGCGGGCGGCTTCCCGAACTCCGCGCGAGGATCGCCGGCGGCCGCTGCGCCTGCCCCCGCGGGCGGGCGACGGCCGGGACCGGCCGGTCGGAGGCAGAGCCGTAACCATGGGGACGGGGGAGGCTCTGACGCGCGCGCGGCGGCTCCCTGCGGCAGCGGCGATGGTTCTTCCCAGCCAGCCCGCCGGCCCAGGCTCCGCAGAGCCGATTTAAAGAGACAACCGGCGGTTTCGCCCTCGCTGCCAACAGAAGCGGACATCTCCCATCAAAACACCCCCTGGGGGAGGCGGAGTGCGGGGTGGGAGCTCTGTGTTATTCCGGCAGGAAGCCCCTGTCCCTTTGGGACTCTGGGAACACAAATAGGAACAAGGAAATTGATTTCGGAGTTTTCACAGTTCTTGTATTAAAATATTCTCAAATCCAAAGATGGCCACAGCGAGGTGAGCCCACAGTGCATCCCCGTGAGTCAGCAGGTGGTCCTGCCGTGTCCACGTGCCTCGGCTGTGCAGAAAGAGCCCCCGCCTCCGACCCCAGACCCATGCCCAGTCCAGGGTCCTGGATCCTGCCCGGAGCTAGGGCTGGTGACAGGGCTCCCAGAAGAAAGCTGAGCCGGTGGGGGGTGGGTCACAGGGGTCCTGCCTGCAGGGCGTGGGGGTCGGGGGGCGCCGCTGGCCAGAGGGTCTCTGAGTAGGGTATTCCCACCCTCCTGCCCTGCGTCCCATCAACATCCCCAACGCTTCTGTCCCCAGAGTGCTCGCTATTCCCGTTGACCCTCTGTAACGGATCCTGAGCTTCAGCTGAGGGACAGAGACCCCTGAGGGGTGAAGGGTCATCCGGCCACCCAGTGGGTGCTGTCAGCACTGACTGGAGACCCTCCTGCCCACGCCCAGCTCACCGAGCATCCTGGGGCGGCTCCCTCAGGCGCTGGAGGGCACAGCGGAGGTCCCCAGGCCAGGTTGGTAGTCCTGGACAAGGGGGGCGGGGGGTGGTGGCAAGACCACCCTGGACTGGGGGGAAGCTCTGCTCAGACCCCCCCCAGGTTGAGGTGGACCCCATGAGGCGTGTGTCCACCTGCAACTCCGTCCGCAGACTGTCCAGGGAAGGGACACAGGTGGACACAGGTCAGCTCGCTACTGCTGCCGGGCCCCCCAGCCCTGAGCTGACAGGTCATGGGGCCAGGCGTCCAGGAGGCCGGCGAGGCATCAGGAGGAGGGCCCGGCCTCCTCTGTCCTTGCGCCCTGGCCGCAGGTGGAGGACCCCCCCGGCCTCGGAGCAGGGGGGCGAAGCAGAGGTCGCTTCCGGGCGGTCCTGGAGGGACGCAGAGGGTGGGGGCTGGGTGTGGTTGCCGCCCGGCAGGGGAGGCCTGGAGGAGCCCCTCCAAGCTCAGGCCTCAGCCCCAGCCCGGGGCCCGTGGGCTTCAGGGCAAAGGCTGGTCAAGCCCAGGGGTGCTGGTGGGTGCACGGAGCGCTCTGGGGGCTCTTCGGGCAGACGGGCCCGGCTCGCTGCTAACATTCTGACCCTGCAGTTGGGGCCTGGACACTGTGCAGCCGGCTCTGAGCCCCAGTGTCGGCTTGGGTGAGGGCCGGGGGACTCTCCAGACGAGGGCACCCTGGGAGCCGCGTCTGTGGGCTTTGGGCTTAGTGAGGGTCGGGGAGCTGGGTGCCCCCTGCTGTCCTGTTGTCCCTCCTTGGGCTTGGGCTACCGGTGCCCTGGCCTCCAAGCTGCCCACAGAGGGTCATGAGCCCAGCGACACCCTTCCGCACAGTGGCTGGGCTCCGTGCTGGCCTGGGTCAGAGGGGAGAGCCAGCGCCGTGCCCGCAGCAGCCACGGGAGCTCAGGCACTCTCCCTGACGCGGTGGCGTCCCCTCAGAGGGCCCGCTGGACGAGTCACGAGCGCGAGCTTTGTGACGGCTCCTCAGGCAGCTGGGCTGGGGCCGCCTCTGGCTCCCTTACTCCGTGCCCTGAGCGTCTCTGCCGTCTGTGAGCGGAGCGGATGCTTCCTGGAGTTTGCAGCTGACTGTGAGCCAGGCTTGGCTGACTCTTGGGCCCTTCCAGTTTCTAATGCACCAAGACTGTCTTCTGAGCAAACATGTACCTGCTCAGGCCTCCCGCTGGCACTGAGCGCTCACTCCTGAAACCTGCGTGGCTTCTTTGCGGGAAAGCAAGAGTCTCCGGCGCGGCGGGCTCCGGCTGCACCATGGCACTGTGTCTTTGCCTCCCTTCGCGAAGGCACGTGTCTGGCACATTCTATGAGCTCAGGACTCCCCAGCAGGGAGGTCTTCCAGGTGCCAACAGGGCGGGCAGCCCCAAGCCCTTTCTGGCAGCCCCTCAGCCCTTTATCTGGCCCCCCTGGAGGAAAAGTCACTTTTGATGAAGGGGTGACCATAGCTCTCATTGGCAGGGCTGGGACGGCGTGGGGACAGGCAGGGAGGGGAACTGAGGCAGAGGGCAGGCAGGCAGCAGGGCTGGGGCCCTGGCCCCCAGGCCAGAGGACGTCGGGAACCTGCTTGTGTGAAGCCAGGAGGCAGCCTGCTGCTGCTGCTGCTCCAGACAGCTGCAGGGTGGATGGGGTCACAGGTCAGCAGGTGTAGGGGTCAGCTTGGGGCGCCCCACCCCACCTACCTGGGCCTGAGGGCCACAGAGTCTCAGGCCTGACCGGCCTCCGTGGTGAGCGCTGCAGGAAGCCTCAGGCTGCCGGCTTCCTGGACGCTGTGTGGGGGCCACGCGGGAAGGGGGTGGCGTTGGTGGCGTTTCCGGGCTGGCCCCCGAGGCCGGACGCACGGCCGACCGTGTGCTCAAATCCACCAAGCGGAGTGAAAACCGCTCTCCGGTTGCCATGGCAACCAGCTATCTCCCCCAACAGCGTCAGTTTGAATTTGTGCAGAACATTTCTAACAAAGATTTACGTCAACAAACTCACTCTGCCCTGAGGTCAAGCCGATGCTGAGAATAAAAGCAAAGGCGCTGTGTTCCTGCGGCTGCCCGTCCTCTCCTGAAGGCTCTCAGAGCCCCCGGAGAGCCGGGCCACGCCCGGGGCAACCTCCTCCTGGCCACCAGTGACCCCTGGGCAGCCTTGGTGGATCCTGGGCCCCTCACAGAACAGGGGCCTGGGGGTTTCATGCTGAGAAACTCGTGGGGTCCGTGTCCATGCACGCACACCCCCCTACAGAGTGCATCCAGGGTACAGGGCACCCCAAGGGCTTCGCGCGTCAGGGCCCCCACGACCCACCTGAGCCAGTCCACCTCAGGCCCTACAGGCCGCGGTCAGCCTGGATGTGGGGCTGCTGCCCGGCAAGCAGAGTCCAGGACGCAGCCCGCCTCTCTGAGCGCCCCGTGCTGGCAGTGGGGCCAGCCCTCCCCACCCCCGGGGCTCTCAGCCCCCCTCACCTGCCCGCATCCTTCAGGCCCAGCAGAAGGGTCCCTGAGAAGGCGCTTGAAGGAAGAGGAAGGTGGCGGATAGTCAGAGCAGACAGCGTTTCAGTGTCAAAAATGCAGCCTGTTTCTCTGTTTTCCTTTCTGGCAATCCCCAACTCACCCCATTTTTCATTTCCTTCCTTTCCTCAAACCACATCTTCTTTTCTCCTTCACAGCTTCAGACCCTCCTGGAGCCCGGACCCTCCCTCCTTCAGGAGTGAGTCCTGGAGCCACCGTGGGGTGCGGGGTGGGGGGTGAGCTCAGCCCCCGCTGTGCTGGGGGCTCCCGTGGCGCCATTTGCCTGGAGGATGTCCTTGGAGGAAGAACAGTTCAGAGGCCGCTGGGGACCAGGGGGCAGCCAGAGCCTGAGGATCCCCTGCTGGTTCTGCCACACGAGGGTGAGGGTGGGGGTCCTGGCTGGTGTCAGGGGAGGCAGCGGGCAGGGCGGGCTTGCCCTTAGCTGCGCAGTGACGCTGGATGAGCTGTGACTGTGCT